TCTCTCTCTGTCTCTCTCTCTCTCTCTCTCTCTCTGTCTCTCTGTCTCTCTCTCTGTCTCTCTCTCTCTCTCTCTGTCTCTGTTTCTTCCTTTCTTCCTATCGTTCTGTTTAGTAACACCTGTCATCTTTGGCACTTGTGTGGCCTCTTTGTGTTGTAAGTTCGGCAAAACTGCTGCCAGGGGTGGTCAGTGTGACTGTTTGTGTGTGATGGTCAGTGTGACTGTGTGCAGAGGACAGGAGTGATTTGCCCTTGACCTTGATCCAGCAACTCTAACGTGAGCCACGCCGTCATCCTGCGACCCCTTAAGTCTGGATATTTCAACTTCACGTCGGCCGAGCTCAGCTATCTGTTGTCAGAGGACGCGACGGAACGCACGGTCAGTGGACATACTCACAGACACACACTCACAGTCACAGACACACACTCACAGACGCACACTCACAGACGCACGGTCAGTGGACACACTCCCAGATGCACACTCACAGACACACACTCACAGACACACTAACACATACGCAGGGCTTGAATTAGGTGTTCAGGAGGGCAGGCAAAAATTGCCTCGGTGGGGCCTAAAAATCAGAGGGCACCGAGGCAAAAATTATAGGTGATCATTTCGTTGATGAAAGTTGGTAATACTGTATCGTGCATCACAACGTTTATATAAATAACTATACAGTTTATTCTTGCTCTCTACAAAAGTATAGTTATAGGAAAATTGTTTAAATCATGAATAAAAACTAAGTAAATCACAGTAAAATCACGCCGAAATAAAGGCACCAAAAATCAGTTTTAAATCAAATTTATGATCACGATTGCATCTGACTTTTAAATGCTTTTATGACTAGCTCTTATTGATTGGATTAAGATGAATGAAGATGACTGTTGATAATAGGGCACAATAGAAAACAGTAAATAATATGACCAATTAGGTAAGACATTAATCTTTTGAGATTCAAACAGAGCGGTTTACAGGCAATGTAGTGATAAAATAAAAACACATCATGGTAAATGAAAACACATTTTGAACTTGTACGAAAAAGAAAAAATTAGGAGTGAAAACAACTTATGAACCTGTTTGGAAAAAAAAAATGAAATACTGAAAACTGCTGTCAAGCAGTTAAACAGTGTGAGGTTCTGACTATGATAAGTAAAAACAAGTTTTGAAAATACCTGTTTTAAAGTACATGTATGTTATATAAAAAAGACTCAGGACTAGATCAGAATGTTGAAAATATGTGGGCACACACGATATAGAAAAAGACTATGGCTTACTGTTTGGGACAAAAGTGATGTTGAAAAGTATCACCAGAGAAGATGATTTCAGAGAATAGTGCTGTATTATCAGGACGTCTAGTTGTGAGACACATCTCTTGCCACATGGAGGATGTCTAGTTGTGAGACACATCTCTTGCCACATGGAGGATGTCTAGTTGTGAGACACATCTCTTGCCACATGGAGGATGTCTAGTTG